CCTCTTTTCTTTTTTCTTTTTTTTTTTACTGTCCTCAGTCAAAGAAAAAGAAGTGCTGAAAACATAATATCGAATCAGGTCTGCTTGTTTAGCCATGTCACCTCTTAGATACTGGCATATGATCATAATTACTTTATCAATGCCCAAAAAATAACATTAATACGTTCAGGAATGAGGAATGGACTGGAAAAGACCACAACACAGATCCCAGAAATGGACTGGCTGCAAGAGTGAACTCAATACTCAAGACAAGCCTTTTTAAGTGTCTACTCGATATAAAGTGATAAATCATCAACTAAATCATTTAATCTCAATTAAAGACAGTAACTGCATATTCAAAAGTAGATAGTCCATAGGTGTGCCACAGTGAGGAAGTGTTTAGAACTGTCATTTCCCAAAGCCAAATGTTTTTATCCATTAAGCTTTGTGCAAATCTGAAAATTAGCAATAAGCTACTTAACGTGAAAAAAGTATTTTCACATTGTCTCCTGCTATCTAATCATGAGTACAGGCACTGGCCTTCTTTAATGTACTGTCAGAAACGGGCCGAGGGCTCAGAGTTGCCGCATATGATTTGTACCTAAACAGTAAGCGTAGAGTTGAATTAGTAGGTGCTTTTGGGTAATTGTTTTTGCCTTGTTTTTAAGTTACTGTTTGCTTAATGGCTTTCACGGAGCTGCAGTAAATAGTAAATATGTTGCTGTTTGGCACACAAGCAATTGATGGCTGATTACAGGCTGCCAAGCAACAGCAGGCTGCTCCCACTTCAAAAAAAAAAAAAAGAGAGAGAGAGAAATAAAGCATCACTTTGATTGGGGTGACAAATGTAGCAGGGAAGTGTTGCTTTTTTCTATGAGTAATCACCCCCTTAGGTCTTTAGATAATTGTACTCTTACCGCAGGTATACTGACAGCTTTTACAAACGAGTTTTGGGTTTATCTTCAGATATCTGTTCTGTCTTTCCTGCTCTTGTGAGTACACTGCAAATAACCAGTTTAATGGAGCAAAGGTGTCTTACAATATTTGCCAAGATCAGATTCCCCCCCCTGTAAATCATAGAGGGATTAAACTTCACTGACAACAACATTTCTATGTGTTTTAAAGCTTTTTATCAGGAATTAAGCGCCTGTTCTGCAGGAGCTTCTGCAACTGCACAATAAATGATGGATAAAAACAAACAAAGGGGTTGAATTATTTCTACCGAAACACTGAATACATTTCGAATGGCTTTAATCTTTTCCCTATACTGTAGTGCACTAACAAACCAAGACATTGATGGTTGATTGACGATAACTCTAATTCTTCTGACACGGCCAAACAGAATGGGGGTTTATCTCCTTGAGTTTTGTGCTAATGAACACCCTTGCATTAGCCGCCCCTCCGCCCACAACTCTCTTCAACACGTCAATGTTTATTTCTTTGTGTCCCTTCTTAATAGTTTCAAGAAGCCGTTCTAATTCCATCAACGGGCACTCACTCTGATCATTAGTGCCAGTCCGCTGGTGGCTGGAAGGTTTGCACAGCTTTCTGTTGATGTCGCTCAGAAGTGGTGCTCAGCAGCAGCATCTCACTGAGCGGAAAAGATGATGTGAAAACTGCGACCGCACAAACTAACGGCAGGTGACTGCTAAATACGAAAAATGCGAGAATCAAGTGACGTGGTACGACACAGTGCATTTTGTTTATCAAATACAGACACAAGACCTTCGAATAATAAACAGACGCGGCCTCATTTTGCGGCGAAACGGCTGATTTTATCATTGTGTCGAATATGAATCCGACGACAGGAAGCAGAGTTCCAACAAAGGTGAAAATACTTCACATTGTGCCCTCTGATGGTTTAGGAACCAATACCGTAAACACTACCTTATTCCAGGGATCAAATTATCTTGTTTTCCTTTTTCATATTTGAGTTTCCAGTCAGAAAACAACAGGCAAGCTATGGATACAGAGCAATTCATTTACCTTTCAAATCCACATGAATTAAATCAGAATGCTAAGGGTTAACATGAAACAATCATGCATATGGAATATAGTGATTATAAAAATGCTATTCCTACAGTGATCACTGTGGTACTGTTGTAAATCTGAAGTTAAATTATTAGGTGACAAAACTAAAAATAATTTAAAATGGAGGGGAAAAAAGCATAATAATACGGTCTATTTAGTTTATTTTCTGACTTTAGCACAGATATTCAATTTACAGTGGGAAAACAAGTAGTAGAGCTAAATGTTTTAGTAAAGAGTGACTAATTAATAGGAAACAAATGCTATGAGGTTATATTATTTGTTTTGCCATCTCGCCAGCTGTAGATTTGTCTGGTGTGTCTGCATAATTTACATATTTTAAGCTTTGCTGCCATCTTAAACAGCTGAAGTCTTTTGCATCAGATGGAATGAATAATGCCTTGTCAAATTTCGGTCTGACAGAGGGGCTCGCAAAATGCATGATGAACCGCCATAATTGAGCTTGTAAAGCACAAATGTACCCAAGGGAGCAGCACCCCTCTGGTTAGCTAAATTTTCCAAGCCACTGGTTAAGATAGAGACGTTCAACCCATTAGAAAATTTGCGGATGTTTGCAGACTCCCGAAGAAGGAGATGATTTTGAGCAGTGCTCAGTGTCAGATCATCCCCACAGTGCTTTCATCTACCCACTTGCTTCCACCCGGAGCATTGCATGACAACTTTGGCTGCAGAAATACTGGCAGGAACCTGCGGCCCCCGGAGGAGTCACGTGACCACGCATCCCGGCAGCCATGATATTCTGCATTACACAAATCAGACCACAGGCTGCTTTGTTCATACTCTGCTTGATGAGAGAGAAACTCCATAAAATTCAACCTTCTGACGCTAGCTTTTAAATGAGAGTACAAAACAGAACAATGACAATCTGGCACCTGAATATCTTACCGGGTTTTTGGCGTGATTGGAGTGCTGGTAGTGGAAATTTATGCATGGTTTATATAAGGGCCAAAGAATATGTAGCAACTGACGTGACTTTTCCGACCAAACCTCCCTCAAGATATCCCCATTCATCAGACTGGTTCTGTACCCACATTTTAAGCCAAATGCAAGCCAACATGTTTCAGGGATTGCTTCAGGAATTCCACATGCTGCAATACATCACCCAAGACTCACTTGACCTTTCAAAGAACATTGGAGCTGCTCGGGGCAAAAATTAAAAGTCTACTTTCTGATGTTTTAATTTAACTTATGAAGGTGGTTTGTTGTTATTTTCTCACTGCTAATAATAAATCATATTTTTGCTTTATGTTAATCTGTTCAGCGGATCTAAATGCATTTCCTCTAATGGTAAGGGAAAAACTACTTCACAACAATCATTTCAACTCCAGCACAAACAAAGAAAGTGACAATTAACTTGGAAAATGAATCGCTGATGTCTATTTGACTTGCAAAGTAAGAATGAGCTTTACTGTCATCAAAGGGAGCCAGAAAATCCGCACGGAATCGCTCTGACACAGTCTTTGTGTTCATAAAGTCTGCCTCTATTCAGTCAAGGGAATCAGTGAAGCAGCCATAACATTAGTCTCTTGACACTGTAACGACAGTTTTGGGTCTCTGCTTTCTTTATGAGAGAGAATTATTCACCGTCCTCTAATGCAGTCGTACAGCTGGAGATGTGTAATGTCAATGTGATGTGTAGTGCAGTGTAAATTCTGATTACCCTAAGACAGGGATACTCTCAAAGTAGTCTTGGCACAAGGCAGTAATCTGATACAAAATCAACTACCATAAAGTCTCTTTGTGTGTGCGAAAGCCACTGATGCAACAAAGTACTCCGCCACATTCGTATACACACACTGGCAATGTGGAAAATACCGTTAAAAGACAGAATTGTATGTCTTCTCACATATTCATCTCCACGAGGAATAGTTTTTACTTAAAAGTTTGACGTGTTGATTTAAAATAATGAAGTCAATGAATGTAATCTGTTAAAGAATGTTGAACAGATAACAAGTCAAATGGATGATGTTAAGAACAAAAAAAGAGTGTAGATCTCAGATAGTGTCTCTTCGGATTTAATGTTCTTATCTTTTTTTCCTCTTTCGATCAATGATTTCTCCATAAATATCAGCCAAACTCACACCAGGGCTACAAAGACTTTAAATCTAAACCTCAGAAAAAATTCTCTTATCACTGACCACCTATTGTACATCATAATCAAGTCGTTATATCTCAAAACACAAATGTCGTATTAAGAATTAACATATGTTACGAAACAGATAATTCAATATTTCAAAATTCTAAAAACGAAAATCTTTTTTTTGCCAGAGATGTCCAAGCTGAGAGCAGAGAGGAGGAAAGTGTGTGTGTGTGTGTGTCTGTTGTATGTGCATACATGCATGTGTATCAGTGTGTGCGTCCGAGCATGTGTGCATCTTGTTCATGGCAAGAAATCAGCTCAGTTTAGCACATAATGGAAATGTGAATAGCCCAGAGCGCCTTTCTCCCACACAGGGAGAGATCTGGCTGGGAGCTTGGCTGCATCTTTCCAAATCCAAACAGTGAAAGAGAGTTAGCTAGGTTAAAATCGTGCCCCCTTTTCTTTTCCTCCCCGGAGCTGTTCACAGCTTTGCCCATACATTACTGAAACAGGTCATCCAAACAGGTCTCACTAACAGTCTGTAAAACATATTCACACACATATGCGAGCATGCGCAAACACACGCACGCACGCACACACACAAACACACACACACAAACGCTTCTAGGTTCAGCTGAAAGGTGAATTTGTGCATATTATGACAGATGACATCTTCTATGGATTCCCAATCTATGCTGCCCCAAATGGTAACAACACAGTTTTTTTTCTCAACATTTTTAATGTTTAAATTCATCACGAAGGGTTTCCAACCTCAAAACATTCAGCGTATCCCATTTTTGTTTCCTTATATTTCCTTCATTTTAATACAATGTGAATAGTTGCAATGATGCGGGGGAAAGCATGGTAAATGATAAAGTTAATAGGGCTCACATGCGACTTCCAGAGATGCGTTCCGGCTTACGGCCTCCCCCAGATAGTTTCGGGCCACGCACACGTAGCTGCCGTCGTCGGGCTTGCTCCGTCGCCCGTGAACGATGCGCAGGAAGAAGAGCGACCCGGTGGGCAGCAGCATGCGGTGGGAGCGGGGATTGTCGCGGTTGGTCTCAACGCGCTCTCCGTCTTTGTACCACTCCACCGACGGTGTCGGCCGGCCTTCGGCCTTACAGTTGAGCGTGGCCGGCTCCCCTTTGGATACGAAGAGGTCGGAAGGGTGCTCCACGATCCGGGGAGCGGAATCTTCCTGGCGAAGACGAGACCCTACAGAAAAAAAAAAAAAAGTAAACTCTGCTGAAGAGGTCTGATTGCATTGTGTGCAGAAAGCATGAGATGAAGATCACTGCGCTCATGCAAATGGTTGTTTTTCCCCCGATATTCAGCAGGACAAAGAAAGGGTTATGTTTCACAGGAAGTTTTAAGCATGAATCACATTTGCGTCCTCTGCAAAGGTGGCCTGACTTGTCACCAGGTCAGCAAAAGGATGTTACGAGAGCCTCCCTTAAGACAAGTCGTGGCATTTCTGCAACCCTGACCATGGAGTCTTTAATCCAAACCAAGCAGTGGACCTGAGAGGAAAAGTAAGCACGCGACTGAGAAGAAAATTGAAACGTAAAACTAAAGTATGCATCCAACATGCTGAGTCCAATGGCATATGAAATGTGTCCTCCTGGTTAAAAAGTAGTGACTTAACTACCGCAATTTACTGATACCATTTGAACTTTTAAAATATAAAAAAGATGCCTTTTAAAATAGCTTAAAGTACTATTAGATTGTGTCTCAAAGTGTAAATCTCAATCTAAGATTACCTTATAAAATTGACTTTTCCTTCTGCAGCACAGACAGCATTTTTTTGGATACCATCTGTTAACTCCTAGTTAACTTATTTAACTCTTTGAGAAGCAATAGAGCTGCACAAAATTGTAAAATGTAAGCAATGGATTAAACCGAATGGAATATTTTCATATTTTTTTAAGGGGAGCTGATTAGTGTCAGGTTCTTACGGGCTGCACAATAAGCTGTGTTGCAACAGAAGCTTCCATGTTTACTTTCACAGACAAGAGCTTAGAACTTTTCGCATCTCATCGGCTTTTCCAGTTTCATCAGCAAATTCCATCATTCACTGACATCATCAAACATCGTATCTCAGTGGGTGTCTTACAACTAATGTTACACTGGGTTTTCATTATTTATAATAAATCCAAAAGTCTAGATCACCATATTAGTATGTGTTGCATTTAGCCTTTAATGATGGTGTTTGAGTCTAAATATTTAATAAAGGCATAAGAATGTCAAATGATTATTATTCTATGATGGATTAATGTCGCTATTTGTGCACCCTAGAAAAAGTGGCAAACTGAATATTCTTTTGGCCCACTTCAGCTCAGTGCAATACAGTTTGATCATTTCCACCTTAAAATGTCACAGTCAAATGACCCAAATGTAGGGGCACTGTTTACCGACCTGACAGCATCAAAACTCTCATCTGTTTCATGGTGTATGAGCACATTATAATATCCGTGTTAAAAGGTCTATCTCTTGTGTTGTGAGCATGCAAACAGCCGACAGAGCGATGTTCGAGCTGCCAAACCAAGCTTTTTATAAGGTGGAGAAATAAATAAGATATTCATACGTGAAAGTAATGTTACACGGTCTTTCATCTTTTGTGCTTTGATGGTGGAAAAAACACAAATTGCAAGGACAACCATGGAGACTGCTTAGTACACTCTAGCTGAAATAAAGTCATAAATAAGGGCATAACTGATGTGTTATCTGTTAAGTTAAGAGGTTTGCCAACAAAAAGCATGAGCAGGCAACTTAACATGTGGCTGTGTCTTGAGCAAAAAGATAAAAAAAAAATATATATATAAATACTATCTATACATCTTTGAGAAATTACATTTGCGTTGATCCATTAAACACACAAACCAGTGCAGTTTGTGCTGACTTTGTCTAATTGCTTGTCTGCACTCTGACTTTTCGACACTGGTGCTGTCAGACAACGGAATTTAAATGAGATGATTTAAGTTGTAGGTGGCACACTGGCTCAGTGGTTGGTACAGTCTTCTAGCAGAAAGCAGGTCCTGTGGGGTCCTGTCAGGCTTTTGGTCTTGTGATGGACTGGCTTGTTGTTGAGGGGATTTGACTGCTTTCTTCACACTACATGCTGCACATGCTCCATGACCCTGAATGTAAATCAGTAGGAAGAGCGAATTCCCATTTATATTTTCAAAAATGTGTATGGACAAACGGAATTTTCAGGTTAACTATGCATTGACAACTCAGATGTGCGTGTAAAATGTTATAGACTTTCAATTGTGCTCCAGTGATTAGGGAGACTGCTTCAGAAAGTTAAGCATAAACGTTGCATCCCACTTTCCTCCACAATTGTACCTGTTTATTGGGGTCTATCCATGGTGCTGAAGCAGAAAATCAACAGCTTGCAGCGAGGAAAGTGGCTCTTTAAGGGCCAATAAGCAGTGACTACTCTGATAAAAGTCAATTTAACCTGGCAGCCTTGTAGCGAGAGAGTTTGGAATAACTCAATTTGGAGTGCTAAGATTATTTTGACTGTCTACATATGAGCACTTGTCATTCAAGTATTCTTCAAAAACAAGGCCCCAAGAAGAATACTTGGAGTCCAGACAGGATTTTGTGTCGGAACAGCATCAAGCTTTGTCTTGAAACTGTCCTACATCACTGCTTACAAATATTTTTTCCTTAAGTCCTGGAAGAGAAAACGAAGATGGTCTGTTCCTCTCTTCTCTTGAACATTTCCATCTATCCATTTTCGATACCTGGTCACATTGGGCTGGAGCATTTCCCAACATCCGTAGGGTGGGAGGTGGGGTACACCCTGGACAGGTCGTCAGTTCATCACAGAGCCTGACTAGCTTCTACAGGAAATCTAGACTCAGCAATTAGCCTAACATCCATGTTTTGGGGAGAAAGGTGGAGAGCCTAGAGAGAACCCATGCACACAAGGAAACAAAAGCAAACTTAACACTGGGATTTGAGCCGATATGAACCACCACACTGCCATGCAGCACTCTTTCTCAAAATTTTGACACAGGTATAAACTATGTGTACATATACACACAGAATCTAGTCTTTTTTTGCCAGGTGGCATTGTGGCATGGTGGATTCCTTATTCTCTCTCTATATGCCTCGCCTCCCTCCAGGTGCTCGGTCCTCTACCTTCCATTCAAAAACATTAATATCCAAATTGTCCCTGAGAGTGAGGCCCTGTGATGGAATGGAAACCTGTTCAGGGTGAACCCTGCCTCTCACCCAATGACATTTGAAATAGGCTGCCGTCTGGAAGGAAGGTATATATATTTTAACCCACTCATATGTCTAAAATGCAGTGGGTACAAGGCGTTACATGAAGATAAATGGTGAACCAATGGAAACTGCAGGCTCCAAAATGACCCTACAATTCAATCAACACCTCCCTGACTTTGTGTAAATGCAACTGAGCACTGTTAGTGTCAAAAAGATGGGATGTATAACAAAGTCGCAACCTTTCTTTGTCTAGATTTAATTGATATGCTATACCAGCAAAAAGTGGCAACACAGTGCCTTCCGTTTCCAAGAAACACTCAAATTCACACCTTCTACATGTGGTGTGAACTGCTTAGAATTTCACCATATTCACCACACTAACACACATTTCTGTTCCATGTGGAATTCGTAGTCTTTGTGAAAAAGGCAGCACTTCCTTTCTGGTTTCTTAGAATTGTACGTATGGTGAAACTGAATTTATGGTACAGAATCAGGACTGTGAATTGTATATGCAATCTATAGACTGAAACAGTCAGAAGCAAATTTCCCAATGACACTGAAACATACACAGCAGGTATTTCAGTTATGGGATGCAGAGTTAGCTCCCTTGAAATTAATAGAGTAGCATCAGCATTATTCCTGGATAGAAACAAAGAAACCTGTGAGTAAAGTCTGAAAATCAAAGGTCTGCACCACCTTGGTTTGAAGTACCACGCAATATAGGCAGAACTACACTTAGAATAACACAAAACAAACTCAGATCTTTTTTTTAAAGGATAATTTAAAAAAAAGTTAATGCCCAGACTCATTTCAACACAAATTTAGGGGCATTTAATTGGTGTGCAAGATTCCATTCTTGTATAACTGAGTTCAATTAGAGCAGCTTCATGAATAAATAAATGAGCAGCTTTTGTCTGACGACGCCGCTGACGAGTTTCCCTTAAGCAATTTCACATCAGGGCTAAATCATCCAACTGTGACATTCTGCACTGGCATCATAAACACTTATTCAGGAGGAACGGAAAAATCAACCGTAAAGCACACATCGTGCTCAGTATTCACTTGCTGTAGGACTTGAGCTCCAAAACTGCGAGGAAAACGTTTCTGATCCCTTTAGCTTAATGTGGAACAACTGAATTTATATTGATGAGAAAAACGGTGTAAGCCCGAACTTACCATAGGTTTGGCTGTACAGAACTCCGTAGAGAAATAAATACTGAAGAGGACCCATTCTGGCATATTGGCTTTAGTGAGCTATATAGGCGCATGAATTCCTCCTCAAGCAGGGGAAGAAAAAAAAAAGGCAATCAATTTCTCACCCAGTCCCGTTTTCACTGGTGCCACTCAGAAGAAAAACGTACAGTTTTAAAGGCAGTGAAGTAAAAACAAACAAAAAAAAACTGTTATTTCAGCAGCTGGGGGGGAATCGTTCTCATCCACATGTCCGTCTCTCCAAAAGCGCACCGGTGAAAGCTTCGGTCCGTCGATTCGAAGACACGCTGGTGGTTCCCGCAGTCACAAATTTCAAACATCACCGACGCCCAGACGCTCTCCAGGTGCTGACGGGGTTCCTCCCGTCCGGCCGCATCCCTCTGACACACGCACACACACACACACACACACACACATCACCGGCTCCAGGTGCGGCCAAACGCGTCCATCCTGGCGCGGGACAAGTTGAGGGATGGAGGGATGGAGATGAGAATTCACAGAGAGAGAGAGGTGAGTTTGCTGCACGGTGCAGCACGGCTCAGCCCCTCCTATCGACTCCACTGCCCTGGGAGAAACTACAGTACAACGGGAATGTAACACTCCAAGCACATCCTCAGACTCTGTGCATTAGTCTATGTGGACTATTGTATTTTTTCCTCAATCATTTCCCAATCAGTTTTTGTTTTGGTCAGTTGATTAAAACTATCTGTGGTGGTTTCTTGTTTTATTTACTTGTTTAGAACTGCGTATAAATAGCTTAGCATTTACATAATTTGACATAAATATTAAGACAATTTCGGAAAATGAAGCGTAAAATGCACATTACATAACGCCTATGATGTTTAATGCTGCATATTTTGAAAACTATATCAATCCAATGAAAGAAACGCTGTGATCAAGCTCAGTTTAACACTGGTCCTTTAACAAGAAACATCTCTCCATAAGAAATCATTTTAACAAAGCCCCTATAGCTTTGGCATTTGGTATATTCTTTTCATATACAAGCTATCACAAGAGAGAAAAGCTCAAAACAAATGGTGCTTCATTCCATTGCCTTAGGTGTTGCCTGCCTTGCTATCAATTCTGGTCAATACAGTCAATAGCATTCTAAATGTGGCACCCCGCTGTGAGATGACAGTAAGATAGGCTGCATCAGGTGCTATTGATCCAAAAGCTCAATTAAACCATTTTTGGTGCAGCGATTACAGCGGTGTATCGAATAATAATGGTGGACAATGACATGAATGAATGTGTATGAATGGGGTGTAAAGTGGGCACAGAGAGTTAAACTGGACGGATCTCATCCATCAGACTGCTTTTTCTAGATTGTCAGATTTATTCCCATGGCAACTGTTTAAGATGTTGTGGGGATATTTGTCTTCTCAATGACTTTTGACAGGGCAACACAAACTGGTGCATCTTGGTGGAAAATAGTACTCCATTTCCTGCCTTGAAGAAATGCAGTGCAGAGTTTATATTCGATTAACTATCACTCATGAATTTTATATAAGTGTTTGGCTGAATCTGACATTATCTAATAGCAAGTCAGACAAAAGAAGTAGGCCCATCATGGTGAGCTGAAATGACATAAGATTTAACCTATAAATAATGATCTTTACTTAATATTACCTCCTTCCTTTTAAAAAAAGAGAAAAGCATGCAAGCCTGGAACCAACTGTTTGATGTAACTGTGCTGAAATCATGAAAGATGGTAAGAAATATTGTCAAGGTAAATGAGATGTTATCATTCAAAACCTCATAAATCATGGTCTTAGTGCCTAGTAGAATAGGCATCCACAAAATTACACCAAATCTGGTTAACTTAAGAGGGACAGTGCATAAAATAACAGATCCTGATTCCGGATTCATCTACTCAAACAACATGTATGAAAAAGTATGTCCAAACTTTTAAGTACTGTATTTTGGTTTAGAACATTGAAAACTGCGGGTCCCTATTTGTGAGTTATGATTGACTCTTGGTTGGACTCACAGCAATCGACCTGTGGTCAAAATATATTTCTCATCTAGTATTCTGTGCCAGCTTTAGTTTTTAGTTGTGATGAAATCCAACAGTGGCTGCTTTTGATAAAACAACCAGCCTGTTTGCATAATGACCGATTACCAATTTTCAAAACGCTTTGTGAACATGATCTGAAATCTAAGGTCTATATAGAGAATAAATTGTATATATTTCTCTATATAGGATAACTGTTGTAATGTTCAGAGCTAGAACATAAGTGAAACAGTACATAGGGAAGACCATGATGAATATCAGTATTTTTATGCTTTTTTGCTTTAATTTGAAGCAGTCCCCACATAAAAAGACCCAAATGTTTTTAAAAATGTCCTCTGCTCTTTGAAGGTAACCGTTTACCAAAAATTGTAAAAAATGTGAACCGTCATAGTGAATCTTTATTCCCACAACACAAACATCATATTGTCACACCAACGTGCATAAAATCTGAGTTAAATGACAAAAATGACCAGACCTGGGAATAAGTACAACACATACAAAGCACCTTCAAAGAGATTGAAAACTAACATTATTCAAAAGACAATATTTTCCAGATAAACGTGCGTATATAGCACATGACAAAGAGAGATACGTTCGTAACAGCATTTGACAGCAAAGTCACTCAATCAAAATTGAAATGCATGTACTGAATGAGTTCATATGATGTTTATCTTTGAAGTTCAGTAAGATAACAGGGATGGAAAATCCCCCCCTCTGTCATCCCACATTAAGATCGAAAGGTTTCCAGGCGACGTGGGATTCTGCCACCTTTGTCAAACAAACCAAAAATCAAAAGGGGGACCACGGTCTCTCATCAATCTACCTCTGGTCACACACGGAAGACGGTGTCAAGGTCAGAATTTTTGTCCGCGCCATTACCTACCCGTGGCCATGTTTGCTCAGGCCAGGAAAAGCTGGAGGTAACAGATGGTGTGTGTGACAGTGTGTTTCGACACCAGACACGGCCAGGAGAGGAGACGTGTGCCCTGACCAGAGCCCAAAACCTACCTGCGAGTGCCAAACCTCTGCCTGAAAGCTCGAGGTGAACAGCCCTTCCATTTTGAGCCAATGCGCTAAGAATTTCTAAACTATGACAGCGTGTTCACACCTTGTGAGTCTCAATGTGTTTTGGCCACTTTCAAAGCATTTCGGCCTGTCCGTCAGTGGGGAGATTTTGTCAGCGTGATAAGGTCATAAATATGCAAGGTACAGTCGCAAAGTGCTGTATTCTTCACGTGAAAGGGGGGAGAAGCCACAATCTTTACAGCTGTGTAGATTTTGCTGATGCAATCCCTTCGCAATAGAGTCTGTAATTCGATGTTTTTTTTCCAAGATGGTGAAAAGAAAACGTGCAAAATTAAAGGCAAGCAGCTTTCTGCGCTTTGCTGAACCAGCTTTTGTGTTTCAAACGGACATGCAGCAAGCTGTTAAGTAAAATATTAATAGCTGAAGGTCTTTGAGCCTTTATACATGTTGCACAGAAGCGTGTCCAATTAAAAGAGAATTTGTAGGATTTGCGGCAAACCATTGTAACTAGTAACACTTGTTCTCAATGATTTAAAAAATAAAATTGCATAATAACCACTAACAAGTATTGCATCTAATCTCTATAATGATACCATTTCTCCAGAAATTTCACAAAACAAACCACACATCATCTCTAAACTTTAAAGACACTTTAAAACTGAAGTTTGATGATGATGTTTTCATGATGAAAACAAAGAGTTGCAAAATGTCACAGTTGATGCAATCATTTTTCCAATATGGTCTCTAGTTTTGTGCTAAAGTCTCTCTCAATTCATCAATGGAATACATCAAATGCAAGTAGCACTCAAAGGCATTTCAAAGACTTGTTCACTGTACTTTTAGTTAGGTTTCCACAGTAATTGCCTAAAAAAAAGCAGAAAACAACATGGGTTCTACGTTTGCTGTATACTGTAACGGAGAAGATGTTTTATTAAAGATTTCACCAATCAGGAGCATGTATAAATTAATACATTTTTAAAAAATGTTCACAAAGTAGATGCAATTAAGTGTCAAATTCATAAGTAGAAAAAAACATATTTATCCAAAACATAAAGTTTATGATATATACATTTCCTATGTGTCTTCTTGATAAATTAATATAGCAAATCATCTTTGACAATGTAACCAATGGCACCAATGATTAAAAAGACTTGAAGCAACTGACAATGAAGATATAAGAGAAAGTATCCAACTACAAGTATATAGAAAGAGGACAAAAAAAAGAGCCATTGTATAATCCAGTGAGAAATAAGAAGATCTTCCTGAGGCTAATGTGGGGAGTATTATGTATATAATACCAAATTCTCAACCAATCTAATCTCAAGGCATTCAACATATTGCCCATACATTAAAGTTAAAGAGTGGGAATTTGTCCTGGTTTTCACCCACATCTGGGAGCAGAGGTCAACTTTCAGCTGACAGCGTAGTAATGATCACCCCAGGGCCAAATGGATAATTCATACACCAGGTGGTTCGCTTCCCACTTCACTGGAAGAGTTAAATAAAAACCGAAACATGATCGGATTGGACGAAGCGTCGGTTTACAAAGATGCAGACAAAATGGTGGACCAGACCAACATTTTACATCCCAGAATGAGTCTGCCAACATGGGCTGCAGAGACAGTTCATTTTTCTGTGCAAAATGCCACTTCCAGACATTTATGAGTTTTCTCAGTGGGGAAGAACGCCTGCCACTCATTAATAACTCAAATCTTGACACCATTATCTATGAGAGTCTCTTTACTGTGATGGAGCATCACCCCAAAATACAAAAAAAGCACCACAGAAAAAATGCTTAAATGACCTTGTAGAAACTGAGCCATCTTATTGTTATTTTTAACCTATAAACAGTTAATGAATATATATTAGGATCAATAAAACTTTGATTGTTCTAATTATTTCAAGATTTAAAAAAAAGAGTTCTTTGATTGTAAAATATATATTTTTAATCTGCTTTAAAAAAATATCAACTTAACATT